TATATATGTCTATGAGGTCCAGTTGGCTGATTGTGCCCTTTAGGTCTTCTGTATCTTTGCTGAGTTTCTTCTTAGTTGTTCTGTCTTTTACTGAGAGTGGTGTGTTGAAGTCTCCTACTATTATTGTGGAACTGTCAATTTAGGTTGTATCTTGAGTCAATCTCTTTTGAGATATAAAAGAGAGAAGCAAGCAATGAGACCAGAGGACCATGTACCACCAAGAAAGTAGTGCCAGGAGCAGAGTATGTCCTTTGAACCTGGGGTCCCTGTGCTGAGAAGCTCCTAGACCAGGGGAAGATTGATGACAAGGACCTTCCTCCAGAGCTGACAGACAGAGAAAGCATTTCCCTGGAGCTGGTGTCCTGAATTTGTACTTCTAGCCTACTAGACTGTGAGAGAATAAACTGGTTTGTAAAAGCCATCCACTTGCGGTATTTCCGTTATAGCAGCACTAGTTAACTAAGACAGTACCAAAAATAAGCAATTGCTCAGTAAGTAACACATTGCATTGACAGTTAAGCTTCGTCTTTTCAAAGTTTATGACTGAAGAAAAGTACAAGTACAACATGAATGAACCTGGAAGGCATTATACTGAGTGAAATAAGTCAATCACAAAAGGACAAATATTGTATGAGACCACTATTATATAATTTCAAGAAGAGATTTGCACACAGAAAGAAACATTCTTTGATGGGTACCAGAGATGGGAGGGGGAGGGTGGGAAAATCACTAGCTAGATAGTAGACACATGTTAACTTTGGTAAGGGAAAGATAATACACAGTATGGGGGAAGTCAGCACAACATGACCAAGGCAAAAGAAGATACTGAGAGGTATGCAAAGGTAAAAGACAACAATGGTAAATTATATTACATATACAATACTGCAACAACAGTAAAAACAACATCTTATGAGTGGGTACATAGGTAGATATGTAAGCTGAATAGATGGAGGAGTGGTGTATGGTAGTACACCCACATGCATATGTAGGTTGGCAGTGGATATTTCTACATACATATTTGTATGTGTTGCAAATATATCCATGTATGTAATATAGCACACAGGGGGCATAGTCGTGAAAACTTCTTAGCCATAAAAAATATCTTGAGGGGCTGAATTACTGGGCTTGAGGGCTAGGGACCATAGTCTCGGGGGACATCTAAGCCAATTGACATAACATAATCCATAAAGACAATGCTCTATTTCCTATTTTGGTGAGTAGTGACTGCAGTCTTAAAAGCTTACCAGGTATCATCTAAGATATAGCTATTAGTCTCTCCCAAACTGGAGCAAAGAAGAGTGAAGAAAACCACTCAAGGAAATAATTAATCCAAAGGACTAATGGACCACACAAACCACAACCTCTTCTAGCCTGAGACCAGAAGAATTAGATGGTGCCTGGCTACCACTACCGACCTCTCTGACTGGGATCACAATAGAAGTTTCCAGAAAAGTGTAGAACAAAACTAAAATTCACTAAAAATAAAAAAGACCAGACTTACTGGTCTAATAGAAACTAGTGGAACCCTTGTGACTATGACCCTTAGATACCCTTCTTACTTGGAACTGAACTGTCTCTTGGAGATCACCTATCAGCCAAATAATAACCCAGTTGCTGTTGAGTCAATTACAACTCATAGCAATCCTATAGGACAGAGTAGAACTGCCCCATAGGGTTTCCAAGGAGCACCTGGTGGATTTGAACTGCCAACCTTTTGGTTAGCAGCCAAACTCTTAACCACTATGCCACCAGGGTTTCCAGTCAAACAATAGGCAGGCCTATAAAGTGAACTGTAACAACAGTGAAGAATGAGCTCCTCAGAACATTCAAATTAATGAAACCAAAAGGGTAGCATTTATTCAAAAACAAAGTTCAGAAGGCAGGAAGAGGCAGAAATGCTGAGCGAATGGAAATGGGGAGCCCAAGGTATAAGTGGGGTGAGCGCTGACCAAAAAAAAAGTACAAGCGTAATTACTTCAAGTTTAGTGTGAATTGTCTGATGTTCTGAAGTTGCTCATTCACCTTGTGCTGTGAGGAGAAGGAACTGGAAAAGGAAACTCTGTTCTTCAGATTTTTAGAGTATGATACACCTCGGGCCAGTCGCACTGTTTCTCCTCTTGATATCCTGGATTTCTTTTAGAAGTTTCTTGCTCTCATTTTCGAATCCCTCCTTCAGAAGTTGTTTCTGTTCCTAAAAAGGGAAAGCAGTGACTGAAACTCACATGACATAAAACTTGTCCCATAAATGACAGATCAGTTCCCCTTTCAAAACTTACATTAACCCCTCAATAGCTTTTGACACTTGTTCTTGAAAATCTTTCCTCTCTTAATTTCCGTGGTATCACTCTCTCCTGAGTCTTGTATCTCTGCCATTAATTTTTATGGGCCTTCTACTCTTGCTTCAGAAATGTTCTTGTTTTATAGTTTCTGAAATATTGGTGCCCTGAATTTCATTCTTGGATCCTTTCACCCATATTCTACACAATCTTTGTGGAAAAACTATTAGTTTTTTTTTTTTTTTTTTTTTGCATCAACTCTCATCTATGTAGTGTAGAATTTAGGAAGGTAAGAAGGATGGGTGAAATCCAAAGGGAAGGTTACTACATGATTCTCCTAATTGTGGGAAATGTCTTATCAAGGAATTAAGTACAAGCCTCCACAATTTTTAGTGGCAGAAGTAACGGAATATATTGATGAGATTGGGCCTGCGGTGGCCCATACTGCAATTCTGGACTGACATCCAGGCTCAACATAGAATCGAAGTAAGACCTGAAGACCAGGAAGGTACTGGCAGACTGAGCACCTAACCAATGTGGGTAAGTAGGTGGATGGTAAGGGGGTCTTCCTACTCATTAGGGTACGTACCGAGATAAAGTCCTACCAGGTATGACAGAAACAAAATCACTGTGGACGCCCCTCAGTAGGAAAGACTAGCCAGATATTTTTCCAGGGGTATGACCCAGAAATGTTACTTATCTCTCATGAAATTACAATTTCCTCACTTGAAAAATGAGAATATAATAGTTTCTGTGCCATTATGTGAGGAATTAATCACAGAATGCAGGTAAAGTTCTTTGTTCAGTGCCTGACAATTAATAGCTACTGTTTATTACGTAGTGATATAATGAAGAAGGGATTTTATCCTGCAAAATCCTGAGGGGAAAAAAATGTTTTGCACTAGAAAACCAGAAGACAGATGACCATACATACGGGGTGAGAAAAAATCCCACAGAAGTAAGAACTAGACTTGCTATTCTGTCTTAGGAGTCCCTAGGTGGTGCAAACAGGAATTTATAATCAGAGATGGGCACAGATAGAAACACAAAGGAAATGCAAGTATAGCAGGACTTCTAGGCCTTTCTTATGGACGTTCACCCCTACACTGTATTTTTGATTCAGCACAGTGGAAGAGAAAATTTAGATAGCACAATTAAATACCGTAAGTTTCAGAGCAATGGTCCTCTCTTGCTCTGCCAGTAGCTGGGCCCTGTCCTTCTCCATCTTCTCGGTCAGTTGTTTCACATGTTCCTGATAGCTCTTTTCTTTCTGTTCCATCATCTGCTCATTCTTCTTTTGCATTTCTTCCAGCATTTTGTTTGCAGCCTCTGCAGATTCAGCCTTTACACGTTCCACTGAGGAGGAAAAAAAGTAGAGAAATACGAAGATTGAATCTTTATGCTTTTCATCCTTTTTGTTTGTTTTTTTCCTATGTCATGGAGAAAATTCTTGTGGAAATTTTTGCACTGGATAACCAGAAGACAGATGACCATACACAGGGGGTGAGAAAAAATCCCATAGAAGTAAGAACGATACTTGCTACTCTGTCTTTAGAAGTTCCTGGGTGGCGCAAATGGTTAAGCCCTTGACTATTAGCTGAAAGGCTGGCAGTTTGAACCCACCTCGTGGCTTCTCAGGAGACAGGTCTAGTAATCTACTTTGGAAAGGCCACAGCCTTGAAACCCTATGGAGCAGTTCTACTCTGCACACATGTGGTCGCCATGAGTTGTAACTGACTTGATGGAAAACAATAACATTCTTTTTCTGCATTGCTGATTCCAGGTAGTCCGACAGAGTTAACCTTAACATTTCTTGGCTTTCCATCTACCTAGAGTGTTTTCAGCTTGTCCTCACCTTCAATCTCTTTTTCCTTTTCTGTGAGTGACTGATCAGTCCGTAAAAGTGCATCAGCCACATCCTCTTTGGATTCCAAGTACTTCTTTATTGTCTCTTCTGCCTAATGATGCAGAAGTTAGAATTAGGAAATGGAGCCTATGGGTTAAAGCAAATCTCTGCAATATACCTGTTAATTCAATTTAGTTTTACCACCCATATAACAGCTAATTTTAGAATCTGAATAGCATTTCAAACTTAACATGTAAAACTCAACTCTGGATCCCCCTCCAACCTGCTCCTTTTCTAATCACCCCAGTTTTAGTAATTAGTAACTCTATTCTTCCAACTGTATGGGTGAAGAACCTGACAGTCATCCCTGATGCCTTTTTTCTGACATATTCCACAAATAATCATTAGCCAATCCTGCTGGCTTAAGCTTTAAAATATAACCAGAACCCATCGCTTGTCACCCACTCCACAGAACTCCAAGGCATCATTGTTTCTTCCCTGGACAATTCCAGTAGCTTCATCACTCATCTTCCTGCTTCCACTCTTGCTCCCTTACAGTCAATTCAACACAGAACATTCAGAGTTATTCTACATTATTTTAAGTCAGTTGCATCACTCTTATGGCCCAAACCCTCTATTGACTTATCAAATCATTCCAAATAAAATTCAAGTTTTTCAGTGGCCTCAAGGCACTGCCTTGTCTGACCTTATCTCCTGTCACATCTTTTTTTTACTTGCTGCTCTCCTGCCATATCAGCTTTCTTGCTATTCCTAGAATATAAGCTAATTTCTTCTTTGGGACCATTTCCTTTGCTGTTCCCTTTGTTTGAAAGTTTCTCACCCTAGATATTCATTTGGCTCACTAACTGCATAACTTCTATGAAGATTCTGCTGATTGTTACCCCATCAGTGATGCCTTCTCTAGCCAACTACATAATAAAATGGCACCACATTTCCTTCCTCTTACACCTTTATTTTGCTTCATTCCTTTTTAGAGTACTTTTTGTCACTGTGACAGTGATGGCTAGAGTCCTCCTAATATCTCCCCTTTGTCTTTATTTAACAGGATCCTGACTTTTTGTTTTTTGTTCCAACTGGGCACAATGCTGAAAAATACCACATTTTCTACTCAACATTCCTTGTATCTGGGGTGCCCATTTAATTAAATTATGGTCAGTGACATATAAGCACAGGTGTTATATGCTACCCCTTGGAAATCTCCATAAAGTGAGTTCACTCACAGCCCTTTTATTCTTTTGTCTTTCCCTCTTCTGTCCACTGGTAATGTGGATCTAATGGCTGAAACTCTGGCAGCCATCTTGGACCATAATGTGACCTTGAAGATGGAGGTCATGTCCTGGGACCAAGATGATTGTAGAGCGTTGTACCAACACTGGACTCCTTCTTCGTGACTTATTGTACAAAGAGAGAAATATTCATCTTTTTAAAAGTATTGTTAGTTTTTTTATTTAAAAAAAAGTATGCTGTCAAACCTAATTCTGAGTATACCAGCATAGAAGAGTAGTTAGGAGCACAGATTCTGAAGACAGACAACCTGGGTTTGCGTTCCAGCTGCACCAGGCAAAACCTGTGTGATCTTGGGCAAGTTCTTTTACTTCTCTGTGCCTAGATTGTCTTATTTATAAAATGGGGATATTAAAAATATATAGGGATTGGTGTGAGGATTAAATAAGGTAATATGTAAAAAGCTCTTAGCTCAGTTCCTGGCATGCAGTAAGCTTTACATAAGAATTAACTATTGTCATTGTTATTTTGTCTGTCCGCTATTTTTTGTTTATTGCCTATGTCTACTTGTGAGAATAGGGCTTGGTCTATTTTGTTCGCTGCTCTGTCCTCAGCAACTTGAAAAGTGCCCAGCGTATAGATAGACCTGATTAAAGAGTTGTTGAATGATTGGATGCATGAGTAAATTCCACAGCCCTTGAGTGCTGAATCTGTACTTCCAAGGAGGAATCCCCCTATCTGGCCCAAGGTAGGGTCTCTTATTAAAATGAATCAGTGAATGGATGAATGAAAGGCAGAGGTACTTCCTACCAATCACAATGTCATTTTGCTTGTTCCCACTGGTGTTTGAAACAGTCACCTCAGCAACTTTCTAGAAACAGTATCCAATAGATTGCTTACCTCTATCCCCTTTCTGGGCACCTGGTAGTACTTATTCTTCAGCTCCTGTTTCTTCTGAATAAACAGAAGATAACCTCCTGGTTTAGAAAATATCCCCTGCTTCACATCTTCTTCTAGAGGATGAAAAATGTCCTGAATTAAAGCCTCGCAATAATCCATGGATGCTTTTATGTTCTGTTTATAATAATCATCTTGTTTTGCTTGTAACTTGTCCTGTGAATTGATAAAAAAGCACAGATGGCACAGTAAGCAATGAGGAAGATGTTGATCCCACTCAAACTATTGGGAAATGTTTCTCTGGCAGAGATTGTGGCATCTAAATAGGTCCACATCTCTACCTTGTCCTGAGATCCTAGGAAAACCTAAAAGGTGTGCTTGGTGGAAAAACATATCTACTTCTGTGTTTGTGATTACCTGAAGCTCTTTTCCCCTAGCTTCCCTGCTTCAGGAAATGATTCTCAAACACAGATACTATTTCATATGAAACTTTTTTCTTTTCAAGTCTCTAATTTCAGTAGCAGTTCAGTGTACAAATGTCAGAATTAGGCAGGCCTGTGTGGAGTTCCTGGTTCAAACTCTGTAATTTTGTGACACTCAACATTTGTGAACTAAGGTTTTTTTGTCTGTAAAATAGGTGAAGGGGTGCGTGTAGTATCTACCTCATAGATTTCTTGTGTGAATTACATGAAGTGATGTAAAATATTAAGCCCAGTGCCTTTTCTGTAAGTGCTCAGTAAAGGGTAACTGATTATTCAGTACTTTCTTTAATAAGAGAATATATATGTTTTCAATATAGGGCTAATGAGGGTAATGATGATTGTACCCTAGGTATTGGCAGTATTTAGAAAGCCAACATTAAATCACTCAAAATGACTTAAATATCAAGCTTTTGCTTTAGGCTGAGTAGATGTCATTGTTTGCTACTTTGACCATCTATTTTCATCAAAACCTCTGAGGCAGGAATGTATCCTTTGTAAAATCCTACCTTGCAAGCCAGGGAAAGCAGTGTCACTTGTTAAGTGGCCATTTATCATGCAACAATCCTTCCTTAACTTGGAAGCAGGCAGACTTGAAAAAATATTCTGAAATAGTATTCTTAAGATTGGTTTCTCTTTCTTGGTTTTCGGAATTTTTAGCTACGCCTAACATAAAAAGATAAATTATTAAGGTTTTGAAAAAATTGAATCCTCTCCCCAGATGATTAGTGGGGAATATGAATATACTGTGTCCTTGATTACTTTGGAAAGAGGAAATAAAATACTCCTTTATAATTCATCTTGAATAATTTACTTATTTGTTTAAAATATGGCATCCAGAGTGGGGGAAATAGCAAAAGGGGATTAATATGAAAAATATGGCCAATTATGATATCATCCTCTAAAGGACAATAGCAACAAAAAACAAAAAACCCATTGCCACTGTCGATTCTGACTCATAGCGAACCTATAGGAGAGTAGTACTACCCTGTAGGTTTTCAAGGAACAGCAGGTAGATTCGAACTGTTAACCTTTTGGTTAGCAGCCGAGCTCTAAATCACTATATCACCAGGACAATAGCAAATGTACCCCTAATTCCTTCTGGAATTTCTGGTCCACATCCTTGAAGGAGCTTTTCATGAAGACCTTGATGGCCTCTTTCTCACTGGCCCTGTGCAGGTCCAGTAGCTCCTGGAGGGTTTCCGTGGGCAGCTGCACTTTTTGGCTCATCTGCTGGTCATAGTGGGCAATGGCTTTTTGCACTGCAGCCGTGTTCTCTATCTGGGCCAAGGCCAGGACTGCGTTCTCCATGCAGGGCAGATCCCCACTGCTGATGGCATTGACATAGTTTAGCACCAAGATCTCCAGACCTACAGAAGGGAACAAAATTGGTGACTCAGCTGATGGGAGGGAGAATAACCTTTATTCTGTTTAGTCCTGAGAATGTAAATTTAATTAACTCTGAAACAACTGCTAGAGTATTCTGTATGCCTGTTAACTGTTATAAGTAATAGTTTTAAGAATTTATTCTGAGAAAGGATACTGATGGAAAATTCATGAGCTTCTAAGTCTAGAAGCTTTTAAAGCTTTTGTTTCCTCTTCCTCTCTCTATTCAAAGATAAATTATTGAAATAAATGATCAGGATAATATTTTTTTGGCCAAGATATTAGGACTTGTGTTTTGTTAGCCTTTCTCTCCCTCTACTCTCCTCTTTTTCCTCCAGTCGCCGTTCTCCTCGCTTCTAATTTGTGAACATGATCATGGAGAAGACTTGACTATCTTTTTGTGGTGCAGGCCACTAGTTCTGTGTCTGGCCTAGGTAAATGGGTGTTCTTGGATATCCTCTCATCAGAGCTACATGTAGGGTGTCCAACTCATTCTGACTGACCCTGGACTTGCTGGTTTTACGATTGAAATTCCTACATCCTAGAAAAAGCCAGTCTTGGGCAAATGAGAATAGCTGTTGACCATATAGATAGCAGTTCTTTGGAACTCAGTTCTGGGCCTTTCTGTCTCATACTACTTTCTCACCCTTTATTATAGTTTTAAGTACCATTTATATGGATGACTCCCAAATTTTATTTCTTGCTCTGGCCTCATTTTTTAGGTGTATGTATTTAAATGCCTCCATAATATTCCTCGTCGTGTAGATCAGAAACCAAAAAGAAAATCTGTTGCTGTCAAGTTGATTCCGATTCATAGCGAGCCTATAGGACGGAGTAGAATTGCCCCATACGGTTTCCAAGAAGTGCCTGGTAGATTTGGACTGCAGACCTTTCTGGTTAGCAGCAATAGCTCTTAACTACTACGCCACCAGGGTTTCTGTGTATATCAGAGGAACCTCAATATTAAAAAATTCCAAATCCAAACAACTTCATTGACCTTGAATCCTCCTCCAGATTTTCTTATCACGGTAAATAACACAACCATAGAAGCAGTTGGTTAAACCCCAAACCCTGGAGTCAGGCTTGATGCTTCTTTCTCTTTAATCCCTACATTCCATCCGTCATCATTCCTTACAGATTTCACATCCAAAATATGTATGGAACCTGTATTTTGACCCTCTCCACTGCTATAACCTTATCCAACACATTCACATCTATTGTTGGACCACTGTAAACAGAATCCATCTTTTAATTCTTTCTCTTACACCCCTACAAAACACTGTCTACAAAATACTCAGAAGGATAGTTTTAAATATAAATTAGATATTTAGCTCTCTGCTAATTTCCTCTAATATCCTCTCATTGAGCTTAGAATAAACTCTAATCTCCTCAAAGTAATCTACTAGGCCTTTCAAGAACTTCTTGCATGCTTCTGCAATCATGCTCTGCTCTTATTCACTCTACTCTTGTGCCAATTGCATTGTCTTTCTTTGTATTTTCTTGAAATTATGAAGTTCTTTCCTGCCTCAACACCTTCTCATATAATATCCCCTCTGTCTCCAAAGCTATTCATTCCTCCCTGTTCTTCTTCTGGTTAACTCCTACTGATTTTTAAATTCTTATCTTAAACATTGTTTTTACAGACAAGTATCCTGTATCCCTCGGCCTAAATTATTTCTCATCTTCCTAGACCCCCTTACTCTCTCATACCAAAAGCAAACCAAATCCATTGCTGTTGAGTCAATTCCAACTCTTAGCAGCTCCGTAGGACAGAGTAGAACTGCCCCCTAGGGTTTTCTTGGCTGTAATCTCTATGGCAGCAGATTGCCACATCTTTCTCTGCAGTTAGTGGGTTTGAACTGCTGACCTTTCCGTTAGTAGCCAAGTATTAACCACTATACCACCAGGGCTGCCATTACTCTCTCATAACAACCTATTATTTTGATCTATTGTGCTTCTCACCATTTATCATGATGCATTTTTAAACTTTTTAAAGCACCTTTTTATTCCTATTTTTCTGGAATGAGGATAGAAATCACATTTCTTTTATTCACCATTATACTCAGTGGTTGGTACAGTGGTTGTTACATTGCAGCATTTACTAAATATGTTTTAATTGATGGACAAGAGAATTGCACTAAGGTTAGTGGCAAAGCCTGACACTGACGTGTATAAAGCATTTTCCTTTCCTTGACTTTGTCACCCTGTATAGATTTCATGGAAGGATATTTCATAAATGAGGAGCTGAGAAGTTGGTGTAGAAAGTTACTATAACAGAATTGAAATCCAATTATTTTCCCTTTTTCACCTTACTTTTAAGAATATTAGATGACCCTAGAAATAGTTTTATCTAATATTCATAACAGTAAGGTGAAAAAAAGGAAAAGAGCTAGACTTCAATTCTGTTATAGTAACTTTCTACACCAACTTCTCAGCTCCTCATTTATATTAGATGACACCAGAAATAGTTTTACTGGAGACCTGGTAGCGTAGTGGTTAAGAGCTCTTGGTCAGCAGTTCAAATCCACCAGCTGCTCCTTGGAAACCCTATGGGGCAGTTCTACTCTGTGCTATGAGGGTCACTGTGAGTAGGAAATGACTCGACAGCACCTAACAATAACAAAAATTGTTTTAGTTCCAAGGTAAATTTTATAAATGTGATCCTTGTATTGTGTTTTCATTGACATCAGTAGTCTATACACTCTTTGGAAGTAATTCTTATGCCCCCCTGTTTTATCCTCTGAAAGAGACAGAGGAAAGTCCAGGTAAGCAGTGAGGACAGAGAGAAGACTCACGTGGTCCATTGACTGCGATGTCACCTGAAAGAGTCTTGGGCTTGGAATGACTGAAGATGTAGGAGCAGAACTCTGCAGCTTGTTCTACAAACTCAGGGTTCAGCTCTCCCTCCTGTAGCTGCTCGAGGCGAATAAGGTTCTTCCTCTGAGCAGGCCGGTCAAAGATGAAGCACTTCTTTTGGGGGAAGAACTTTCGGATGCATAATCGAGGCTCATTAAAGCTTTTAGTTTTTTGATCGGTACCTGGGGGAATAAAAATTAGAGGTAGTACAACTGCAAACTAATTACCACAAATAATTGATTCCTCAATGTCATAGTTTTCACAAAGCCTATGTAAGGAAACAAAAATCAGCTAATTATGGACCAGAAATGCAAAGAAGGAATGGGATAGAGAACAAAAAGTCTTTCTCCAAGAACAGAAATTGGATCTAATTAACTCAGCCAAATTAACTCAGCCAAGTAATGTTTTCCCATCTTCTAGCACAACTGCCAGGGAAACATGGTTAAGAAACTCTAATTTTCAGCACCTACACACTAATAGTCATTCTTGATATTGTTATCTATTTGCTACCCAACCTTTGGTCCCAGGAACCTTTTTTTAGCTTTAGTGAAAGCTCCAGGTACTCATCAGCAGTGATGGGTTGTCCATTTGCTTCCAGCTCCAGGGAGAAATCTCTCAGAGTCCACACGAAGGCTGGAAAGAAGCTCACAAAGTCAGCTGAATCATCAACCTCACTATTTCCAGGTGAGGATTTTGCCCTGATTCGATCTGTTAGCTCAGTCACGTAGCTAAGATGTTAACTTAGGAAAAGTGCAGAAAAACAATGGCAGAAAATATAAGGCTATATTTTCTTCTAATGCTTATGTGAAACAATTTGTTTTCTCTTCATTATCTCATTCATTCGTTCATTCCACAAACATTTTTTGAGCACCTTTATGAACCAGGCACTGGACCAGGGACTAAGAATATTGCAATACATGAGTCAATACTACCATCATAGAGTTTACACTCTAATGAGAGAGATAGTAAACAAGTAACCAAAAATATAATAAATAATCAGACATTGATAACAATTCTCTTGAAGAAAAATGAACCAGGCTGAAGGGTTAGACAATAGCTATGTGTGCATCTGCATTCGGTGTTGGTTTATGTAGTTGTCCACATAGTCCTCCCTAAGATGATATTTGCACAGAGATCTGAATGAATGGAGTGAACCATCCACACAGAAATCCACTGGAGGAGCATTCCAGGCAGAGGTGAAATCACTTGCAAACCGTTAGACAGGAAATAACTGAGAGTGTCCAACATATAGCAAGATCAGTGAGGATAGGTCAGATTCCAAGAAGAGACAGGGGATAGATCATTTAAGACTTGGAAGCCATAGTAAGGGATTTAAACTTTAATCTAAATTTAATGGCTAGGCCTTGGGGGGATGGTTTGAGTTGAGAGAGCACATGGTCTGATATATTATTTTAAAAGATCATTATTATTGGTGTAGCATCTATAAGAAGCAAGAGTATTAACAGGAAGAGCAATTAGGAAGTTTAGGAGGCAACCCAGATGAGAGATGTTGGAAGGCTTAGACTAGGGTTATCATAGAGGAAGTGGTGAGGATTGGTATAGAAGTTTTTTGAAAGTGATGCTTACAGGCCTTGTTGGTTGATAGTTTCTAGGATATAAGGAAAGTCATCATTCTGAATGATTCCAAAATTTTGATCATCACCCACATGATGATGTGGGAATTTACTGTGATGAGGAAAACTGGGAAAGAATGGGTTTGTACAGGAAAATTAAGAATTCTGGTTTGTACAAATTAAGTTTGAGATCGAATGGATCTAAATGGAGACAATGAGAAGGTTGCTGTATAGACAAGTTTAAAGCTTGTTGTAATTGAGAACAGAGGTTATGATTGGAGATATAAATTTGATGATAGACATGTAGTTGATACTGAACACCTTGAGACTGGATGATATCACCTAGGGATGTAGAGTTGAGAAGAAGCCTAATAACTAAAGAGCTATAATATTTAGAGATCAAGAAAAGGAAGAGGATGAAAAGGTGTAGCCAATGAAGAAGGTGGAAAATTACAGAAATATGATATTCTACTGCAACTATGGGCTCAAACATAGCAATGATTGTGAAGATGGTGCAGGACTGGGCAGTGTTTTGTTCTGTTGTACATGGCATCACTATGAGTTGGAACCAACTGGATGGCAACTAACAACAACATGGTATTCTAGACACCAAAACAACCAAGTGTATTAGAAGGGATTAAGAGATCATTTTTTCAAATGCTGCTGAAAAAGCAAATAAGATGAGGACTGAGACCTGATCATTAGATATGGAAACATCAAGGTAACCTTGACAAAAAAGCTAATTCCATCCAATGCTTGAAAGTGAGTTTGTGGAAACGGGTGAAGCTGTTGGTAATATCCAAGACTAGATAACGCAGGAATGTGGAAGAAAAGGTTATGAGGAAAAAACGGAACTGAGAGATCAAAGTGTTGGATGAGTGTCTATCGGTTGCTGAAGCCTCTGGAAAGATAGTAAACTAGGAGCTAAAACTCTTTAACGAATGAGAGGTATGTTTACTGAGATGACTGCAACAAAGAAGGGTGGTATAGTCTGAGGGCATGTGCTTCAAAGCAGCTTCTCTTTTTTATTGGGAGTAGAAAGACAAAGTATGTGGAAGCTGTAATAAGGAGCAAGTATGTCACCTAGCTCATCTTTGGGACCTATTAATGCAAGGTACAAAGAAAAAAAATCACCATTTGAGACCACTTGATGGGCCTGTAAAGGAAACAGTGTTGGCAGGGGACAGCCAGGTGACAGTTAAAAGGGAACATTTAGAGAAAATGATAAGAATATAACAATTTTGTTGAAGTGAGAACGTAAGTTCTAGAGGACTTTGAGAGTTTGGAGTGAGAGGGGAGATTAAGTCATACAGGGGATGTACAGACCCTTGTGTAGCTGAGGGTAACGTGTGACCAGGCAGGTTTAGACTTCTCAGGGTGATTGAGGTAAACTGGGATGTTGAGAATAATGGGATTCATTATGGAAGGGACTTATGAATTCTTCTGCAGTTGCCCACCTCTATATCTGCTGAAAAAATGAAGCTGCTCTTTTCTAGATTTGGTGCTATTTGGAACCACAAAAAGGATACTGCAGTTGGTCCATGGCCTGCTGGTTGATGGTTCCCATGCTATTGTATATAAAGGTGCTGCTCAGTAGTATCGCCAAAGCAAAGATCCAGGAGTCATTCTGATTGTCTCCCTAGAAGTCAGTGCAGAGACCACATAGAAGAGTGACTAAGAGCATGTCCTTTTGATTCAGATAGACCAAGTTTGAACTCCAGCTCTCCCTCACGTTACATGGGAAGCTTAGGTAAATCACTTCCCTGTATATTATTTATTTTTCATCTGTACAATGATTAGTTTTTAACATTCAATTTATAATGTTGTGAAATTTAAATAAGGTATTGTATATAAAGGCATACCAGAGTGTTAAGAACATAAGTACTTAAAAGTGGTGGCTGTTGTAACCAGCTACTAACATTCAAACATGTCTCCTGAGCTTAGATGTGGCCAATTCCATTCCAATGACAAATCATAGTAAAGAATTTTTTAGACAATAGTTAAAATATGCTATTTTTACAATTTTTTTTAGCTCAAGACTAGTAAGAGTAATAATGTATCTTCTTTTATGAACAAAGATGCTGTCATCAGACCTTACACTTTGACTTGTTCTCTTACTAGTAGTTCTGCTATGGATAAAAGTGTTCTTACCATCTCTCTGGGTCCCCACTGTGAAAAGTCAGACATGATTATAAAATACCTAATCAGGTTTAGTGGCACTTTCAGCAGGTTCAACAAAACATTTTGCTATGATATATATGAAAGTCACAAGGCTAAAGATGTCATTAGTCATTACTTTATGGACTACATAACCTAATTAATAGTCCTTATTATTCTCTCTCCATATTTGTGCTGTGGGGTTCAGGGTACATTGTATGCACTGACTCCCAAATCAGTACTTTATGCTCAGAGGTTATGTTTATTTTTCTCACACAGAGCTGGTTTTTCCTGGCTAATGAATTGGATCCTAGATCAAATTTTCAACACTACCAAGTAAAGGAAAACAATAATACATTGATATGATCAACTTTTTAAAGCATAAGTCAACGTTTGGGGAGTGATAGTGCAAGCGGGTTATATATCTTGCATATGTAGAATTTAAAGATTTGTGTTTACCTTCTCTACATCTCCCAGCCCCTCAGTGTCAAGCAGAACTAGGGTGTGGTTTGGCATATTGGGATGAGGCACACACCACATCCAAATTCCCTTGGTGTGAGACTGCACTGTGGAGCCCAGGGAGAAGCCTGCAAAGGAGAAATGAGGTATTTTGGAATGGAGTTTTAATAGAAGGTGATGCTGGATATTGAGATAAAAGTTAACAAAGTGAAGGTTAGAAGACATAACTGAAACCACAACCAGTATTGATCTTAAATTACAATCAGAGAAGAGTGAAATTAGAATATTCAATACAGATTGAAACACTTTACCTTAAAGATCAGTGCAATCTTGCTGCTACTGCATGAACATATTAGCAAATACCTTAGAGTTCATTTTCATGTACACTAATTTTTGATTACTGCCTTATTCTATACAGGAAAGGTACATTTATATTGTTAAAAGGGGAAACCAAAGCAAAGCATGAATAAAGAATGAGCTGACTCTTATCCTCCCAAACAGAGTGAAGATAAGAATTTCAACTGTGGACCTAAAGATAGCTTTCAGTATTCATCCCACCTCTAAACTTTCTCCCTTACATTACCATATTCAGTGCTGGGTAGTGTGAGTGATCAAAAGGTACTAGGTAGAGATTTTCTGGTGCCACTTACCTTTTTTCTTCCCTGCCAGCTTGTTCATCAGGTAGGATTTGCCTGTGCGGTAGAGGCCCACAATAGCCACCACCACAACAGGCTGCTTAACTGCAGACAGGATCTTCAAAGCTGTCTGATTAGCTGTCAGTTTCCCATTAATGTTCTCAATGAGGCACACTGGGCCTGGCATGTGGATCTCTGAGGCCATGTCCAGGGTGTTACCTTTGTCTTCAAGGGAAGAAATGGAATGGAATGCAATTTCTAGACAGTTAGCTGATGTAAAACATTATAATATGGACGAAATTTTTGTTTTGTATCCTTGATATTTATTTCCAGTTCTAGTTTTAATATTCCTTGTGCAACGTCCTGGGTGAAGTTTCATATGCTATTGAAGTAAAGTGTGTATCATTTCAAATTAGATTGTTATAAATTTAGGACATTAAATGTAATCTCTATGGTAATCACAAAGAAATTATCTCAAAAATATTCACAGACAGAAATGAGAAGGGAATCAAAATAGTTCCTTGCAAAAAATCAACTAATACAAAAGAAGGAAGTAATGAAAGAAATCAAGAGCAAAAAAGGTATATGACCCACAGAAAACAAATAGCAAAATGGCAAAAATTCTTCCTTATTGTTACTTTAAATGTAAATCGATTAAACTCTTCCATCAAAAGGCAGTGGTTAGCAAAATGGATTAAAAAAATTCAAGTATACACTGTCTGCAAAGAGATTCATTTTAGATATAAAGACACAACTAAACTCAAGTGAAAGAACAGAAAACATATTCCATGCAAATTGTAACAAAAAAAGATCTAGGTGGCTATAAGACAAAATAGACTTTAAGTCAAAAATTTTTCCAAGAGACAAAGAAGGATATTATATATTGATAGAAGGGTCAATTCAACAAGAAGATATAACAATTATAAATATATATTCATCTAACAACAGAGCCCCAAAATATATGAAGCAAGCATTGGCAGAATTGAAGGAAGAAATAGACAGTTCCATGATTACAGCTGGGAACTTCAATACACCACTTTTAGTAATGGACAGAACATCTAGAATAAAGGTCAATAAGGATATAGAGGATTTGAAAAACACTAGGGAGCAACCAGACCTAACAGACAAATACAGAACGCTCCATTCAACAACAGCATAATACACACTTTCTTCCAGTGCATATGGATCTTTCTCTAGGATAGACCATATGCTAGCAACAAATCAAGGCATCATAAATTTAAAAAGATTGAAATCATGAAATGTATTCTTATGATCACAATGGAATGAACCTAGAACTCAAATGCAGAAGAGAAATTGGAAAATTTACAAATATGTGAAAATTAAACATACTCTTAAACAACAGCCAACCAACAAGTCAAAAAAGAAATCACAAGGGAAATTAGAAAATACTGAGAGAAGAATGAAAATGAAAGCAGAACATAAAAAATATATGGGATGCAACAAGGAAGTTGATAGCTATAAACACCTACATTAAAAAAGAAGATCACAAATCAATAACCAGACTTTACATATTGAGAAACTAGAAAAAGAATAGGAAACTAGGCCCAAAGCTAGCAGAAGAAAGGAAATAATAAACAAAGCATAAATAGAGAATAGAAAAATAATAGAAATACTCAAAGAAACCAAAATTTGGTTCTTTGAAAAGATCAGTAAAATTGACAAATCTTTAGATGACTAACAAAGAAAAGAAGAGAGAAGATGCAAATAACTAAAATCAGAAATGAAAGTGGGGGACTTCCAGGCAACATGGCACTGTAGACAGAAGGACCACGCCATCCATCCACAGCAAAGATCCAAAAAACTAAGTCAAACAGAGACACACATCGATCCTGAAACCATAAGCATCAAATGAAGAGATAGAGAATTCAGCCAAGCACCGAATGGAATAAGAAACTGACAGAGAACAGAGAGCAAGGAGAGAAACATGCAGAGGTCCCCTATCAGCTAACGCAGCATGGATCCACCATCTTGGACTCCTATGAGAGATCGACAAACAGGAGGTATGAGAAAGCAGCTTCACGGAGCTTCCAGTAGGAGACAGAATAACCAGTAACCAGTGATATACAGTTTACCACCCCCCACCCTTCTTCACCCTTTCTCGGCCTCCTCTGCCTTCTGCTGGCCACAGTCTGTTGGCCAGGAAGCAACGCCTTCAACTTGGAGCTGCTTGGATTCCACCCACGCTCACTGGCAGGCTCCCTGAGTGCCACTGGTTGGCTGCTGGTGTTGCCTTTTTCTGCTTCTTTAGATTTCTTCTTTAACTCTCACCACCTACCCCTCGCCCCCTTCTCTGAAATACCTGGCTCCGTTTGCCATTTTTGCTTCTTCCTGAAAGGCTGCGAAACACTGCTCAACTGTGAAACTGCTTTCTGGCCCATGCAGCCACACTGGTGGGACCCCCGGGGCTTTTGTTTGTTTGTTAGTTTGTTCTGATATGTTCTGTTTTGATTTCTTTGTTTGTTTTCTTTTCCTTTTCTTGGCTTGGGAGCCCCTTCTAGCCAGGCAGTACTGCGCAGCTTGGGAGCTTCTCCCTTACTCTGAGCACACATGCAGTGGTATCCCTGGGGACATTTCTTTTTCCTTATTTTTTCTTTTTTTGATTTTGTTTCTTTATTTTGTTTTCTTCTCTCTCTTCTTTCTTTCTTCATTACTCAGTTTCTCGTCTCTCTATAGTTACTTTGTCTTCCTGTCTCCTGAATACCTGCTGCTGTGTGACACCTCTACCCCTTGTAGCCAGGCTGTACTTCACAGCCTGGGAGCAACTTCCCCAGTCCTTGCAGCCGCACTGGTGGGATCCCTGGGGGGTATTTTTTTCTTTTTCCTAATGTTTATTTATTTATTTTTTCTTTTACCCTTTTTCTTTTATTTTTCTTTTTCTCTATTTCTCAGTCTCTCATCTCTCCACTCCAATGGCAGGCTCCCTTAGCACTCTGTTTTGTTTGTGTATATGTTTTTGGCTACTGTTCCTCTCTCCTCTTTCCCATACTCATCTTAACTCCACACATCAAAATTTCCCCCCTCCTTCCTGCCTACCTGCACCATGCACTGAACATCACATTCCCAAGCAGCAAAGGCATGGCCTTCCGGAACCTGCCATGCACTGATTCTCGGCCCACACTGCTGGCCCTAGTACATGCCACAAACTACATATCCCAGAAATTCCACTTCAGCTGGACCAGCCCTGCTGTACCATACCTGAGCAACTGACCATGCCCATTGAAGAAGGAGGTGAAAAGAATTGTGCCTAGAGATTAACAAACAACAAAGAATGCACTGCTCGCCTGCTCCAACATAACAAAATAAAACAAAAAAGCAGCATGAAACAAACAAATCTACAATCAATAAATGAGGAAAATAACTACTGAATGCTCTGAAGACAACAGACAATATCAAAACATATACAAAAACAGAACAGGATGGCTCCAGTCCAAAATAAAACACCAGATGACTTTTCAGTAGAAGAAAAGGAACTAGAACTACCTGATAGGGAATTCAGATAGCTAATATTCATAACTATCCAAGACTTGAAGCCAAAAGCAAGCAAAAATGAGGAAAAAATAGACAAATTCATGGAAAATACAGACCAAAAAAGGAAGAATTTAGGAAAATAATACGGGAACAAAATGTTAAAATAAATACACAACTAGAAATCATACAAAAACAACAATTAGAAATCCAAAAGATAAACAAGATTTCAGAAATGTACAGTGTCCTAGAAGGGCTGGAGAACAGGTTCGAAATGATGGAAGACAGGATCAGTGAAATTGAAGACAAACACTTGTATACAACTCAGAAAAAATCAGAGAAAAGAAGAAAGAAAATGAAGAAACTCAGACTTATGCGGAATACAATCAAAAGCAAAAATTTGCAAGTGATCGGAGTTCCAGAACAGGGTGAGAAAACAAAAAACACAGACAGCATCACTGAAGAACTGCCAACAGAAAAATTCCCCAATATCATGAAAGATGAAAAGCTGACCATCCAAGATGCTCAACGAATCCCATATAGAATAAATCCCAAAAGAAAATCACCAAGGCATATCATAATCACACTCTCTACAACCAAAGACAAAGAAATAATCCTGAGAGCAGCTCGAGAAAAACAAAAAGTCACATACAGAGGAGAAACAATAAGACTAAGGTCAGATTATACAGCAGAAACCATGCAGGCCAGAAGGCAATGGGATGACATATATAAAACCTTGAAAGAAAAAAAAATGCCGGCCAAGGAAAATATAATCCTGCAAAACTCTCTTTCAAATATGATGGTGAAATTAGGACACTTACAAATAAACAGAAATTAAGGGACTATGTTAAAACCAAACCAAACTTACAAGACTTATTAAAGAGAGTCCTCTGATTCAAGAACAAACAACATCAGACCGCAGGCTGAATCTAGGACGCAGGATCATACCAGCGAGATATGAAATGAACTGCCCAGGACTATCTAAAACCGAAAGAATTACAACAGGGAACCAGAGAGGTTAATCTGTAAATGACAACAACATCAGAACAATAAAAAAGGGAATAAATGGTGTCGGTATAGAACCTTCTTATGGAGAGGAAGGTAAGGTGATACTAAGTAATAACAGACTGTTTCAAACCTAGGATGATAAGGGTAAATTTCAAGGTAACCACAAAGAAAGTTAACAAACCTACTCATCAAAATTCAGAAGAAAAACATAAAGTCTCAGTAAAGACAAAACCTACAAAAAAAAGAAAAAAAATCCACAAACAAATGGAATTCAGCACAGGAGAATAAGAGGAACAAAAAAAAGTCAGCACCACAAACAAAGCACTAAATGACAGAAATAAACTCACACATATGAATAATTACACTGAGTGTAAATGGCCTAAATGCACCCTTAAAGAGATGGAGAGTGACAGAATGGGTTTAAAAAAACAGGACCCATCAATACGCTGTCTACTAAAGACACACCTTAGAAACAAAGACATAAATTTATTAAAAATCAAAGGATGGAAAAATACGTATCAAGCAAACAGCTACCAAAAAAGAGCAGGAGTGCTAATACTAATCTCAGATAAAATAGACTTTAAAACAAAATCCACCATAAAAGACAAAGCAGGACACTATATCATGATTAAGAGGACAATTCATCATGAAGACATAACCCTAATAAACATCTATGCACCCAATGACAGGGCTCACAAATAAATAAAACAAACTCTAACAGCACTGAAAAG